AGAACCTCACCCCTATTCTAGGGTGAGAGCAATATCTGGCGTGAATAAGCACCTATGTTTGGTAAATAAAGACTAACAGAGTGACTCCTGGTTCCTCACAGTGTAGGAGAAAGGGGTTTGATAAGGGAGCAATAAATATTTACTGAGTGATAGTAACAACACAACAGCAATGCCTGCTCTTTATTGAGCTGTGTGCTAAACCTTTTTAATTAATTCTTTCATTTGGAATTCATCATACAACCGTGTGAGGCAGTAACTGCTGCTGTTCCATGTTACAGGTAAGGAAACTGAAACTAGAGGGAGGGATTAAGTCGCTTACTCTAGGTTTTGATGAGGCCTGTATTCCAGGCTAGGTCAAAGGAATCCAGATTGTGTGACACACCTGTATTTACCACTGCCTCTGGGCTCAGTATACACTGCAATCAGTTACCAAACATCCTAGCCCCCATTGGGCATGGTTTTGGCAACAATTTACTTAAAAGTGCAATGCATTGCCCTGATGGAGTGGCTCAGCTGGTTGAGCATCATCAAGTGCACCGAAAGGCTGCTGGTTCCATTCTGGCTCAGAGCACATACCTGGGTTGTGGGTTCAGTCCACAGTTGGAGTATGCACAGAAGGCAACCGGTTGATATTTCCGTTTCTCTCTCTCTCTCTTCCCCCTTCCCGCCCCCCCCCCCCCTCTCCTCTAAGTATGTCCTCAGGTGAGGACTAACAAAAATAATAAATTAAAAAATAAAAGTAAAAGTGCAGTGTATTTTAGAAGTACTAAGATACTTATGTGTTCCTGAATGACCAGATAGTAAAACTTTGTCTTCTAAGAATACAAAAGAGAAATAAAGTGTGAGTGTGCACATGTGTATGTATATGTGTGTGTGTGTGTGTGTGTGTGTGTGTGTGTGTGCACGCTTCTCCATAATGCCTGGCCTTCAGGGACACAGGACCTCAGAGATCTTAGACTGCATTATTTTTAGCTCAAACATGAATGGGAATTCAGGAATAACACAGTTAACAGAATAAAAAAAGGACAAGTTATCTTTTTTTGTATTATTAAAACTATTCTGGCAGCAAATTAATTTTTTCTTATCTTAACAAGTAACATAACACCTACAGGCATGACTACAATTAATCTAATTGAATGTTGCCAACAAACAGGCTTTAAAACTCACAAGATTCCTAAAGACACCATAAGTAAAAAACTTCCCAGGAGATTAATCTAGAAGCAGATTTTAAAATAGCTTAAGAAACTTTAACGGCACGTCTCTTTAGAGATACAGGTTATGAATGAACCCCATAGAACTTGTTCTGGTGCCTAAAAAGCAAGTTCCTCTGCATTCATAAGAGCATAGGCTTCATTTATAATGACTGAAACTAGAGAGCAACGGTAACTAGTAGATTAAAATATCTCTGAGGCAGATTCTAAGGATCATCTGGATTCTGTGAGTGTTGTTTATTGAAAAACAAAATGGAATTCATATTAATAAGGCAATAAATCATTAAAAACACCCCTAAATACCTGGGCATCACACCACTTTAAAAAACATGTTTAATAAAGAAAATAAGAAAACAACATTCAAACCTTTGCCATGTACAAGAGACTTTCATCTGTTCTCATTAATTTTCTCAATTACCCAAACACCTTGCTATCTTTTTTACCTCAGGAAAAGAGTAAACTGAGGTTCAGAAAATTTAGGAATTCACCTAAGGTTATACAATTAAAAAAGTAAATAAATATATTAAAAATAAATTGTAGCTGAAGCCGGTTTGGCTCAGTGAATAGAGCGCTGGCCTGCGGACTGAAAGGTCCCAGGTTCGATTCCGGTCAAGGGCATGTACCTTGGTTTCGGGCACATCCCCAGTTGGGGGTGTGCAGGAGGCAGATGATCGATATTTCTAACTCTCCATCGATATTTCTAACTCTCTATCCCTCTCTCTTTCCCTATGTAAAAAAAATCAATAAAATATATTAAAAAATAAATTGTAAAAATTAAATACAACTTAAAGTAAGGAAAAGAATCAAAGTCTGTGGGAATTTAAATACACATGCTTTCCAGTATTCCTTGCTTGAGAAGGAAGGAAGGAAAAAGGAAAGAAAGGACTGCAGACAGACAGGGAAAGTAATGGTTAGGGTCATTAGGGCTAAGATCCCAGAGCCTGCAATCCAGGTAACACATGGCACTAATCCTAAACCTGACTTACACCTGCAGGCTTCTTTTTGATGAGCCATTTGCTTTACCAAATCATTACTTTAAAGCACATGTGTCAAACACAAGGCCCGCGGGCCAAATCCGTCCCGCCAGGCCTTGCAATGTGGCCCTCACCGCGCTGTCATCACTGCACTCCGCTGCGTTTCCATCACAATGACAGTTTATGACTGTTCAGTAAACCATTCGGCCCGCGATTTAGGCTGGATTTTAGATTTTGGCCCCTTCTCTGATTGAGTTCGACACCCCTACTTTAAAGCCTCAGTTTAAAAACAAAGCAAGCCCGGCCAGCCGGTGTGCTCAGTGGTTGAGTGTCCACCGATGAACCAGGCAGTCACAGTTTTCAATCCCCAGTACAGTACAAGGTGTGCAGGAAGCAGCCGAGGAAGGCTTCTCTCCTCACTGATCTTTCTATTTCTCCCTCCCTCTCCTTTCCTCTTTGAAATCAATAAAAGTGTATTTAAAAACAACAACCACCTCCTTCTAATTCTATCAGTAACCAACAGGTAATACGTACACACCTGTATGCATTTTCCTGTAAATAAAACCAGGTGGAAAGCTTGAATGCCGAAGGTAGCCACCCCTGCTCTCACACAGATGGCACTTGTGTTCAATAGCATTGAGTCTCATGAATCCTGTTTGACCTTTAGTAACAGACAAAGAATCACTAAAACTTGCCAAAGCCCCAACCAATGGGACTCTTAAATGAAGAAAGCCTCCACTACGTAGTGAAAACCAGTAGGAGAATTCAAAGGGGTCATTGCAGGCGGGCCGGCTTCGCCCCAGACAGTCACCAGCAAATAACGATTCATCATGCTTGGCACAGTATATACAATTATAATGAGTTTTAATAAGGCCTGCAACAATAGGAGTTCATGAATGGCATTTTAGTTCTAACACAAAAGGACTCTCGAGACAGGGAAAATGAGAACTTCTACTTCAGGCTTTGTGTTGTTTCCTCTTTTTATAGTCGCTCGTATTTACTATCACCGCAGACTTGATCACACATCACTTTTTAGTTTTTGCTCCTAAAAACTGCTGCCCTGGGCCCATAACCTACTGCGTGGCAGGCGGATGCTCAAGCACTCCGCCTGTGGTGTGTCCTTTCATTCTCAAGGAGTGAGACAGACCTTGGAAGGCAATGGAGCCGGGAAGATGGGAGAGACTCCCTTCTCCCGCCAGCAGGGCGGGCGGTTTCCGGGAAGGGAACCCGGGGGCGTCCAGAGCTACCCAAGTGCTTGCAGCCCGCCAGGGGCGGCGCGGGCAGGCGGAGAGGGTTGGGTCCGGTCGGGTAGGGTCGAGGGGGGCTCACTGGGTGGAAATGTGGCCAGCTTCCCCTTACTTGCGCTAGTCAACCCTGCTCCCCCGTTCTGGACCCTCGTCTTCAGCTGTCATGGATCTGCATTTCGAGTGTCCCCCAACGCAAGGACCATGAGCGCACACCCGCTAAGATAAGTTGTCCGGGGACCATTCAAGCTTTTTTTCCACTTGGGGAGGAGTGGGGGGCCGGGGAAGTGAAAACACTAGCCATTCTCTGCAAGCCCCTCACCCCCAACAAGTTGTCCCTCCGCACACCTAAAACGAGGTGACACGGCTGGGCACCAAACTGGGAAAAGTAGATGAGCAGTAGTGGGGTCATGCGAGCCGGCGGATGCCACCCTACCATCACCGGGGAAAGGGACTTTTATTTCCCCCACCACCTCCCAGGCTGCGTAAAGGCGCACGAAACGGGAGCGGTGGGCGCCTGGTCCAGCGGCAGGCGCGGTGCCTGCGCCCTCACCATCCTTCTTCGCAGGTGCGGCCAGGTACATAGGGCCCTCAGGAGTGTTTGGACGAGTTGACATCGATTCCCAAAGGGGGCTCCAGCAGAACCCCCAGAGGGGCAGCAGACATGGCAGGGAAGCCAGCGGCACGTCCCGGGGACCCGCAAGCCCCACCGAGCCTGACCCTCCGAGCTTCACCCTGGGCATGTGTGTTACCAGGGAGCGAAGGACCCACACCCTTCCCGCGAGTTCCCTCTCTTCCCAACAGGTGAAAACCCCATGGACCTCTCCGCAGAGCTGTCTGCCCGTCCAGCTGAGCCTCCCCATCTCCGGGGCCGCAGAGGCTCCCGCACCCTCACCCAGGTCCCACGCCAGAGGACTCCGGAGCCCGAGGCTGCTGCCACCGCATCCCGGATCCCCCAGAGAACGCCGGCCCCGGGACAGGGGGAAGACCCACGGGGAGGACGGGGTGGGGAGAGGTCCGAGGCCCCCCCGACGCCGCGCCCCTACCTACCTGGCGCTCGCTGGGCCCCGGCTGGGGCATCCGCCGGGGGCGCGCCTCTCCGGCGATCGCTGCGCACCTGGCCCCGCCGCCCGCCGGCCCCAGCTCCGCCGCCGACTTAGCGCTTCATGGCGCGCGGGGCTGGCCCGGGGCCCCGGGAAGCTCGTCCAGTTGGCGGCGGCTCCCCCGGCTCTCGCGGCTCGCCAATGGCTCCTCGCCTCTCCCCGCCCCGCGGCCCTGCGCCCTCCCTCCGCGGCCGCCCTTTTTCTCCCCGCTCCCCGCGACCGGCCAAACTGGTTCCTCCGCTCCGGCTAGGTGCCTCCCGTCTCCCTCCGGCTGCCACGGCCGCGGAGCAGGGCGAGGGCTGGGGGCGGGCCCAGCCGGCGGCCCTCCCTCTATCCCTTCTGGGGGCCGAGTGGAGCTAGACGACGAAACCCGGGGCTGACAGACACGGCCCGGGGAGAGCCCCGCGCCCTCGGTGCCCCCCCCCCCCCTGCGGCGGGCGGGCGCCCCGGGGGGTGGCCTGCGCCTCCCCAGTTCCGCGACCCGGTGGCTGCGGCCGCTCTGGGCTCCCAGATGCTTCCGCCTCCCCAGGGGCCCGCTCGCCACCCCGCCCCGCCAGCCTCGCGTCCCTTTGCCGGCTGCCCTGGCCTCCCGCCGCCCGGGGTCGGTGGCTGCGCCAGCCCGGAAAGCTGTCTTGGTCACGGCTCGCCCGGGACCTGAGCTCCCTCGGTAAGGGGAGCTGGCCTCTCTCGATGCCAAGTCACGTTCCGGGACAGGTCGCCGAATACAAGTCGTGCGGAGGGTGGGGAAAGAGACAGTGCCAAAAGACTTCGAGAAACATATCCTGTTATTGCGGCAAGTCGTCTGTTTGCCCGAGACCAAACTTCCGCATCTTTACAGGTTTTGGGGTCAATAGGAGCCAAAAGGCGGCATTTGAATGACGCGGTGTGGTTGGAAATGTTGGATTGACAGCTGGGAACCGGGCAGGTGAACCTCTCCTCCCTGGCATGACAGCACACTAAGCTCCTCCACGCGCCAGAAATTCCCCCTTCAGCAGAATTTTACTGCTCAGCTGCAATGGACAAGTCTCTGGGATAAGAATGAAGTCGAAGATGAATCAGAGGTTGCTTAAAATGTAGTGAGGGAGATAGGACTCTGGTTACCTGCAGGTCACAGGCTAAGGTTATTGGCCTGAGGGTTCAGGCTTACAACAGGAGGCTTAAGGAAGACTTCATTGAGGAAGCTATGCTTGAGGCGGGACTCAAAGATGCACACTTTTAGGGATCAGAGTTGCATGGAGAGGGCATTCCCCCATATGACCTTAAGGTATATGAAAGATTCAACTGATACAGTTAGACCCTAGGCTTCCCTGGTTTTCTTGTTCATTCGTCACACTTGATCTTTGTCTAGGTAGTGCTCATCATTTCATTCCTCTAGGACTCAGTTTCTTCATTTGTAAAATGACACTGGGCCAGATGATCTGAAATGGTTCCCTCCAGTGCTTATTTTCTGAGCCCAACAACAAAGCAGAGGTACAGAGGCCTGGAAACAGGGCCTGTTTAATGACGGTGGGGTAGACCAGTTGGCTGACAATGCAATGATACTGCATAAGGCTAGTGAGGGAGTTGGAGTTTGGAAGCTCTTGAATGCAGGCAGCACCTACAAACCATTAAAGGTTTATGACCACAACAGTGATGTGATTAAGGTTGTGTTTAGGGAAAGTAGTGGGGATAGTCTGGAAGAGGATTAGACTGAAGTACCACTCAGGGGGCTAATACAGTAACAAAAGGTGGGTCTGGAGGAGTTAGGTATTGTTTCAAAATTAACAAGCATTTATTAAGTGCCTCCTATGTGCTAGGCACTGTTCTACTTGTTTGGATGCATCAGTGAACCAATCAGGCAAATTGTATCTGAAAGTGTGACAAATGCTTTGAGAAAAATAAAGCAGGACTGACTGGGAGGAAGCCCCTGAGGGAGCCTTCCAGGTGCTGTAAGAGTTCTCTGTTTTGACTTGGGTGGTGCTTCTGGGAGGCTATACATATATAAGAGAATTCATCAACCTGTACCCTTGAGATTTCTAGACTGTAAAATATGAAACATAGAGCAGGGTTAAAAAAGGAGTGGGAGAATGAGTTGCAGGGGTTTCTTTTTGTGTGTGTGTTTTATTTTACTTTAATGTTTGTATTGATTTTGGAGAGAGAGAGAAACATTGATCACTTGCCTCCCATAGGCACTCATTCTGGGGATTGAACCCACAACCTGGGCATGTGTCCTGACCAGGAATCGAACTGGTGACCTTTCACCAGCTAAACCAACTGAGCCACACCATCCAGGGCTTGAGTTGCAATTTTATATTATGTGGTCAGAGAAGTCTTCATGAAAACTTGCATTTGAGAAAGACTTGCAAGAAAGTGAAGGGGTTTCACCCTCAGTGAGAGAAATTCTTTGCAACCCCATCTCACCAGAAAAGAGCATGTTCAAACCTTGTCCTGGCAAGTTTCTCTCACCAAGCCGCCTCTGTACCTTCTTGGTCATTGAGAAGAGACTCGGAGCATGTCAGGTGATATTGTGATAAAAGAAGTAGCTTACCTGGAAGTTCTGACCCTTGTCCTTTCTGAAAGAACTGTGCCAAATTTCAGGGTGCCTTGACAGGTCAGTCATTGGATGTGTCTCATGCATGCAGCAAAGATTGATACTGAAATGTGTCTGACATGAGTCACTGGAGAGATGGCTGCATTCTCCAGGCAGCAGCCCTGATCCCACCAGTTCCAGATACTCTGCTTTCTCAGATGGGATTGCTTTGGTTTTGTTTAGAAGCCACCGCTGGAGGAAATAATTAAACTTAACAGAAACAGTCATTTATAAAAAGCGTGTCTGTGTGCCCTGGCCAGTGTAGTTTAGTGGTTGGGTCATTCTGTGCACTGAAAAGCTCCTGGTTCGATTCCTGGTCAGGGCACATGCCAAAGTTGTAGCCTTGATCTCCAGTGGATACATGCAGAGGATCAATGTTTTTCCCTCCCCATTCCTCTACCTCTAAACTAGGGGTGTCGAACTCAATCAGAGAAGGGGCCAAAATCTAAAATCCAGCCTAAATCGCGGGCTGAATGGTTTACTGAACAGTCATAAACTGTCATTGTGATGGAAATGCAGCGGAGTGCAGTGATGACAGCGCGGTGCGGGCCACATTGCAAGGCCTAGCGGGACAGATTTGGCCCGCGGGCCTTGTGTTTGACACATGTGCTCTAAACACACACACATACACACACACACTAAAAAAAAAAAGGTGATCATGCTTGCTTTTCAGCTTTTGTAGTTTGTCATTCCCTCTGTTTTTGTTGTTGTTGTTGTTGTTGTTGTTGTTTGTTTTTATTTTTCCTATTTTGGCAACACTCCTGTGCATTTCCATGATATGGGTAGAAAACCTAGGGAATTTTCCTAGAGAACTAGCTGAATTGTACTGAAAATTCATTTTCTAGAATTGTCTGCAAGATAAGAGCTAAGGGATAAAAGATATGTCTAAAGGGAGGTGATACTGCCTGTATTCAGATCTTTACTAAACTCACTGGTCATTTAAGCTAAAGCATTTAATGCCAATGGAAAGGTAGTCGCGCCTCACCAGGTGTTATTGTAACCCCTGCTTGGCAGTCAAGATTAACTCAGTTGGAAGGTGAATTCTTCACAGCTATTGTCTAGACTAGCCCCAGACCTGTAAACATGATAAGGAGGCACCTCTTACATGAGCCTGTCTTTGCATAAGTAAAACTAGAAGCTTCCACTAGTCTGTCCCACTTTCTTTTAAGTGGTATGAAAAATAGATACAGATGATATATTGTCTCTGCACAAATAATTTTTCAAATTCCTTCTGATTTATATATGTTTGTGTAAACAAAACATATTTGTGTGATGTTTACAGGATGTCTCTATTTGTGTAACATATAAATATATGTGTATGTTAAAATATTTATATATTATAGATGCACTAGAGGCACAGTGCATGAAATTAGTGCATTGGGGGGAGGGATCCCCTCAGCCCAGCCTGCACCCTCTCCAATCTGTGACATCCCTCTCACAATCTGGGACCACTGGCTCCTAACTGCTCACCTGCCTGCCTAATCACCCATAATTGCACCTGCCATGCCAGCCTGGTTGCCCCTTATTGCCCCCCACTCCACCAGCCTTGTCACCCCTCACTGCCCCCCTCTGCTAGCCTGGTCAACCCTAACTGCTGCCCCCTGCTGGCCTGGTCACCCCACACAGCCTGCTGCTCTGTCATTTGGTTATCCCTCACTAAGCCCCCTGCTGGCCTGGTCACCCCATGCAGCCTGTTCGGTCATCCATTCCATTTGGTTGTTTCACTTGTGATGGTCCCATATATATATATAGCAAAACAGCTAACATGTGTGGTCATCTCTACCAATTAAAGAAAAGTAAATCCTATATAATAAAAGCCTAATATGCAAATTGTCCCGTCTACCGGGAGTTTGACTAGGGGCGCACCATGCGAAGGAGGCCCTGGCTGGTGGAAGGGAGGCCCTGACCTGCAGCTACCAGTCAGCAGCTGCTTGGGACCCTACCTATGCACGAATTTCATGCACTGAGCCTCTGGCTAAATGCATAAAAAATGAGAAACAATTTTTCATTTATCACATTATTAAAGAGAAAAAGTTTGTTATATGTGTTACAGACACTCATCTGCTGTCAGTGGATGTGCAAATTGTGCAACTTCTTTGGAAGAAAATTCAGAAACACATAAAAAATTTTAAATGCACATGCCTTGTACCCCAAAAATTCATGTCTAAGAATTTATCCTAAAGATATATTACACAAAGGTGAGTGTGCATAAATATCCATGTGGTATGTTTTTCACTACGAAGACCAGTGGTGGCCTCCACATTGACTAATAGAGGTCACATCTATACAATGGGACAATACTCGGTCACTTAAAAAAAGCTTACAGAGATCCAGTTATGTTGTTCAGAACCTTTCTGAGACATATTATTTTATGGGAATTCAAAACACAGAAGAGGGTGTGTGTGTGTGTGTGTATAAATAAAGTATGTGTAGATTGTCTCTGTGTAACAGATAAATAATAAATATGTATTGTATACTTATATGAGATAAATAAACTGGAAAAATACAGAAGAAATTGATTTAAAAAATCCTTATCTCCATGGAGGGAGACTAAGTTTTTACAAATATCTTTATATAGCTGAATTTTTTTTATTGTGTTCTGTATAAGTTTTAATTTCTTATTTTGGTCAAAGTAACACATATATGTAGTTTAAAAACTCAAGTAGCTCTACAAAGTTTCTAATGAAAGACAAATTCCCCACCCACCACATTCTGTTCCCTAAAAATCCCTTTTTTTTTTTAAATTTAATGATTTTCAAGGGGTGGGGGATGGAAGGCAGGGAGGGAGGGAGGGAGAGAGAGAGAGAGAGAGAGAGAGAGAGAGAGAGAGAGAGAGACAGCAACACTGATCTGCTGCTCTACTCATTCATGCATTCATTGGTTAACTCTTTTTTTTTAATATATATTTTATTAATTTTTTACAGAGAGGAAGAGAGAGGAATAGAAAGCTAGAAACATCCATGAGAGAGAATCATTGATCAGCTGCCTCCTGCACACCCCCTACTGGGGATGTGCCCGCAACCAAGGTACATACCCTTGACTGGAATTGAACCTGGGACCCTCCAGTCTGCAGGCCAACACTCTATCCACTGAGCCAAACCGGTTTTGGCCATTGGTTAACTCTTACATGTGCCCTGACCTGGACCAAAGTCACAAGCTTATGCATCCATCAGATGACGCTTCAACCAACTACTCTAGCCAATTAGGTCACCAAGCGAGGGCAGACAATCATATTTTTAACTTCTAATTGGTTCTTACATTTCACTAACAGTCTGGTTATGTTGCCATTTTTTTTTTTTTAATGTTTTGCAGTCTTACACATTATCTAGTGTCACCCTGTTATGGATGAAGACTCTTTAACTCTTATGCATCCCAATCCAGCCCCCTGTGCATGCCCACACACTCTCACTCTTCCTCCATTCTCTCATCATAATTAGATTTCCATTTACGGCTAAGTCATATTCAGTGGGTACATTATTCTGACTATGGAAATATTGTTTGCAGCTAAGCCATGTGGAATGCTCTAATTCTATTTCCTCGCTCAGAAAGTTTGTGATCTGAAGTTAATAATTGCCCCTCATTCTCCCCACCACCACCACCACCATATACCATGTTCCTACCATTAATTCAGTCCCCCGATTTCTCACATAACCCCCAAGTTTCTCTCAGGAGAGGCAAACCCGTAATTTATCAGTTTGGCTTCCCCCCTTGAGGCACCCCCTGCTGTATAACCCTGTGTCATGGTTCCCACAAACCCCTCCAATAAGGCAGGCAGACCCCAGAGGCCAGCTCAGGAGGGAGCTCACAGACAGTTGCCTAAGAGCCAGGAGCCGGCACCCCCACTCCAGTACTTTCCTGCAGTCATCACTGGCTCCAAATGTGCCGCATCCACCAGAAACCACTGTCTTCCTTCTATTAGGCACTTCCTGCATCCCACCTCCCCATCCCCCCCCTCCCCCCCAGACCCCTGGAGTTTCAAAGCAAGGAAAGCTGCCCTGGTGTTGTGGAATAAGAAAGAGAAATGTAATTACAGAAGGAGTTGGGGAGGTGGGGTGGGGAGTGGGGGGGGGGGGGGGGGGAGTCTGTTTATATTCTCAGTGGGGTCCAGAACACTTGTATGTGGACTCCAGAATCTTGCAGCAGTTTTAGGACCCAAGACCTATCCATAGGACAAGTGAGAGAGCTAATCAACAAGACGGTGTTACAGGCAGGACAACTCTGCCCTCTAGATTATTAAAAATCTGAATGTGCATAAAGCTTGTCACTCTAATCCCCCTTTCCTTAAGATGAGGATCTTCCCAAGATGTTCCTTCCATTCCCAGGCACTGAGAATTCTAGCGGATTCTCCTTCCTGGATAGATCCACTAACGGAAATAAATGCCAGCATTTAAAACACACGCCAAAAAATGCTCGGCTTTTTAAAGTGTGATTCGTTTGAAAGCCGTTTTTTTTTAAATCCACATGTATTAAAGCCTAAGCAATCAATGACATCTGATTTTGTAGCCCCTGATTAGGAATTATTCACATTCCATCTCGTGAGCTGAAGGCTACGATGCTTCCCTGTGTGCCAGCACCTAAGTCCTGTATAGGCATGTGCCCTGTGACTCACTGAAATCATTTAATTCCTCAAAACTGGTGACAATTAAATGCTGGCATAGGCTATACCGGCTAGCTCCAAGCAATGACAGGTGATAGCAAACGGGAGCAGTGATTTTCAGTCCTTCGTGCAGTTTTTTGTTTTTTAACCGTAATGCTTTAAAGCAGGAGTATCAGGTGGAAAATGTCCGTTGGAGGAGCTGATCTGTTTGCATCAGAGGTGGGACAGGTTTACCATGAAGCCAATCACCTTTAGCTTCAGGGAGTGCCTTCAAGCCCTGTGCCTAATTTTATAGTTTTAATTTTTTCTTTTTAAAGAGAAACCAATTGAAACGTTAGGCCCCATAAAACCTGGTCCTACTCCTAGCAGTGTCCCAGAGCCTCTCCCCTTCCCTCTCCTCTGAGCCCCTCTCCCTGCGATGAAACAAATGGCTCTGAGCCATTGTCGTGCCTCCTTTGGGTCATTTGACCTTTCTCAGACTTTGTTTTGTCATCTATAAAATGGGTGTGTGACCAGGTAACTGAATTCCCTTTGAAAATGAAAATCTTTGACAAGGTCCACTGGAGCCACTTCCTATATTCTCTCCTGACAGCTCCCATCCCCACACTTGTTCCTCATTCCCAGGATGCTGGAAAACTTCCCGCTGCCCCGCTGACATCTGGGGCCCTGCCCAGCTCCGCCCAGACCCACCTTCTCCAAGCCAGGACTTCAGGACTTCAGTGATAGCTTATAACTATACATGTTTACCCTCCAAGGGTATTGTCATTTTATTTTAGAGAGAGAGAGAGAGAGAGAGAGAGAGAGAGAGAGAGAGAGAGAGAGAGAGAGAGGTCAATGATGAGAGCATCATCGATCAGCTGCCTCCTGCATGCCCCACCCTGCAGATCCAGCCTGCAACCTGAACTTGTGCCCTGACTGGAATCGAACTGTGACCTCCTGGTTCATAGTTTTCTACTCAACCACTGAGCCATGCTGGGCTGATGCTGTCTTGAGTGAAGTCATGTCTCTCTGGTTTTCATTTTAAATGGACGTTAATATTTTATCTCAGTGACATAAGTCTTAGCGGTGAAATGTTAGGCAGTCACTGCCGTAAGTCTGAGAGATCCTTCTTGCACTTTTGAAGCAGGGTTTGTTTTTTTTTCCAAACCCCTCAAGTCACAAGGGGTCCCTGCCCATTGTTCTGGAAGCAGCAGACCAACCCAGGTACAAGAGGGTGTCAATTTGGACCCAGAGAACTTCATCTCACTGGGAATGTCATTCTTACTAACACAATTGTTCAGGTTAATTGAGACTGCTAATTTTGTTTGGCTCTGCCACAACTTCCCCTAGGGTCACTAACATCGGCAGCCTCCTGATGGACTTATTTTATGTGAAAAAATAAAGTTTTTTTGTGTTTAAGCCACTACTGTTAAGCTCTCTCACTCATGGCTGAATACAGTTTCTCACTGTGGTTGAGGCAACACTAAATGATAAGACTTCACATTTTAAAGAGTCAAGTCAGAAAATAAAAATATAATGTAAAGTATGAGAGCTAAAATAAACCTTAAAACTCTCAACCAATCACCTATTTCACAGAAGAAACTGAGGCCTGAGGGCAGGGTGTGGCATAGCCAAACAAAATGGACAGATTCAATGGGCCCTGCACAGCCCACTTTCCCTTTTTAATGTACAGGTTGGTGTGATTGGTTCCAATTCAATCAATAGCCTTTTAACTATTAATAATGCCAATGACATGTTGTCACTGATAGTGGGTATTTCGAACACTTATAGCTTTAAAGAAGCCAAAAGTAGGTTAGTATATATCCATTTTTCCAGATAATGTTTTATTGGGATCTACTCAAGGAGATTTTCATTTAAACCCGGAATCTCAGAAATTCAAACTGTGTATCTAAAGGAAAAAGGTAAAAAATGGATACACCTTCCTCTCAGCATTGGTGGATATTGCTTCTCCCTCACAGGGCAGAAGATAAGGTGGTCAGTCACGTGTCACCCATGTTACAACCTGGACTTGTTTTGGAAGGAAAGGAGATTCCCAAAGCATGAGCAGTGAGAACACCATTCCTGCTCTGGGCAAGTATGAGGTTATCGTATGTGATGATTCATGTTCTTTTTGCTCCTGAAGAATCTGACATCCCGGTTTCTCCCTCAGACCAATTTCTGTCTCTGCTGCTGCACCTGCAAAATCTTCCCTGGTCTAAGAGTTCATGAGCCATCATTGGAAAGCTGGGATTTCTTCTCTGTGAAGGGATTCAGGGCTGTGTTTGTCTCATTTTTGCACTAAGGACTCACTAAGCACCACCTATGTGCCAGCCCCCAGAGGAGAGCTGGGGTACAACAGCAGTCAGCATCCAGGGGAAAGACACATGGGAAGAAAGGAGGGGCCCCTGACTCATTCTTAGAAGTCACATGAGGCTTCTTAAAGAAGGCAATATCGAAATAGAGCTGTGGAAGGTGAGTAGGAGTTTCCGTCCTCCCTTTAGTCACTGCTGTTACCCGACATTTCTTTACTCCAGTTTCATTGAGTGAAGTAGGTAGCAAGGAGATGGTTAGAAAAATAAAATGTCTTTTTTCTTCCTTTCCTTGAAGTCTGCAGACAGTACCATTTCATTTCCTCTGGAAGAAGTCAGAAACCAGGGTCAAGAGAGCAGCTAAGAGCCAGGGTTGTTTTCCTCCTCTGAGGATGCTGGGTCAGGAAATGTCAACCTTGGCACCTTGGAATCATGCCCATTGGCCTGCTCTGGCAACAGTGTTTATGAATGGGATATGCAGGCAGGATGTCCCAAAACAATGTACACACACTTTGAATAATTATTAATTCCAATGGGTTAAATCTGAAAAGGAAAAAGCATGTTAAGTGTGTGTATGTGTCTTTATTGAGATATAATTTTAAAACCTATAATTTACCCATTTTAAAACCATTTTTATAGGTTTTAGTGTATTTATGGAGTTGTTCAACCATCTCCACATTCAATTTTAGGACATTTTCATTACCTGAAAAAGAAGTCCCATACCCTTTAGCTATCACCTTCTATTCCCCAACTCCCCTCAGCCTCTGGCAGCCACTAACCTACTTTGTCTCTACAGCTTTTCCCTATTCTTAACATTTCATAAATATGGAATCATAGCCCTGGCTGGGTGGCTCATTTGGTTGGAGCATTGTCCTGATGCACCAGGTTGCAGGTTCAATCCCCTGTTAGAGCACATGCAGGAATCAACCCATCAGTTCTCTCTCTCTCTCTCTCTCTCTCTCTCTCTCTCTCTCTCTCTCTCTCTCTCTCTCTGTAAAAATAAAGAAGAAGAAAAAAAACACAATAAATCAAATTTTAATGGAATCATATAATATGTTTTTTATGACTGGCTTCTCCAGTTTTCTTAATGTTTCCAAGGTTTATCTGTGTTGTAGTACATGTGTTTGTTTCTTTTTATAGCCAACTTATACACATCTATCATTTCTCATGTGCTTCAGGTTGGCATCTGGGCAAACCATCAGTCCTATACATAAAAATATGTCACTGATTATCAGCTTGTGCTACAAACATGAATAGAACAAATGCCATGTGATGCCCACAGTTTTATGTCCCCAAAAGCTTTCTAACTCATCTCGGTGTCTCCATCTCCATCACCATCATTATCTGCCTCCTGGACCAGGGAACATTTCCAAATGGAAATGGTAGCCAACAGTGACCTTTCTTCTTCAATATCTTCCCTTGGTCTCCAAATAAAGACAGAAGTCCTGGGTGTGGCCAACAGCACTCCTCCAATCTGGTCTCTCCATCTCCCTTTTGGCTCCATCTGTCCCCATCTTCTCTCAAGCCCTCTTGTTGTGGTTTCTCTGTCTCTCCCCACCCTTTCCCACCTGGAAGCCACCTGGAATAGTCTTCCATCTCTTCCCCTAATGCCTGATTATCCTTCAGATCCCAGACCAGTTCTAAGGTGGTCATGTTTACACTTCTCATAACTCATATAGCATTCTGTCTTTCCTTTATCACCAAGCTTAACCCAGTTCAACTGGACATCTGTGAGTGTTTGATTAAGATCTGCCTCCCCTCTAACTGAAATTCTTTGAAGGTGGGCCATTGTCTGGTTTCACTCTCAATAGATCCCCTCTACCTAACTATATTATAAATACAGAAAGCATGTAGGTACCAACATTTATGGAGTGCCCCCATAACGGGACACTTACAAACACTGCCTCATGAAATCCCTAACATAATCCTGTGTGGGAGGCACTGTCAACTTCATTGTACCAATGAGATCAATGAAGCTGGGAAAGTATAAACACATAACTTGCTCAAAGCTGGCAAGAGGAGCCCGCACTGTCATTTCGGCAAGAGGAGGATTTTATCCTGGGCCTACTGAATTCTCAGTTCTCAGATCTTTCCACTACCACCGACACTGTTTCTGGAATCAATAGCACAAATGTCTTCCATTCAACAGTTATCAGATATGCCCCTGTTTACAAATGCCTATTAAACACAGAAAAAGACCAATGTGGCAAAAGTCTATGCTCAAGGAAAGCATAAACCAAGAGTTGCAGAGATCACCAGAGATTATATCAGGATAGGGCCTTCGGGGAAGCTTCCTGATACTTGAGACTCATAAGAAGGACCTCCCCCTGTTAGTCAGTTTCATTCTAATTGGCTAGAGGGAGTATTTCCTTTGGAATTTTCTTACATTGTTTTAATCTTGGGTGTTACCCTTTTCATTTCTGTCCAGCAAAGGACTCAACTGTTTGTTTCCTTTCGGGGGATTTCTTTTCTTTATTTAGGGAGCAGTACCTCTACCAGGAAACACTAGCAGTCCCCAGAGACTGGCTGCTTTTGCATAATTGTCACTGAAGCATTTCCACCGAAAGTTTCTCCGTCACTCTGAGGTGGCCCCAGAGCACGTGAGCCAAGGCTTGTGGGTGATCTCATCCTCTGGCCCTGGTCCAGCAGCTTAAGCTCTGTCATCGCAGTGAGGTTGGCTGGCATCTTGCTAACATGGTTAGATCATTACTAATTCTTTTCCAAACCATGGATTTCTCAATCAATGATACATGGGAAAAGAATGGTCGTCGGTCCAGGCTCGTGGCAGTACATCACTGTCATTTTGCAATGACAGCCCAGGTAGGGGAGTGACGTTTGCCTTACTTAATGACGTTTCCCTTAGTCTTGAAGCACGCCCCATATGTTCTCCTGTAATCAAAACCACTGGTCTGTCTGCTTCCCACAGAGATACATTTACCAAAAAGTAATGTCTCTGTACAGACAACAGAATACCATTCAACCACTCAAAAGGAAGGAAATTCTGACACATGCTACATGAATGAACCTTGAGGACATTATGCTAAGTGAAGTAAGCCAGTCACCAATGGGTGAATATTATATGATTCCACTTATGGACATTCCCAGGGTAGTCAAGTTCATAGAGGCAGAAAATAGAATGACTAAGGGGAGAAGGGGGGTGAAAAGTGAGTGTTTGATCGGTACAGTCTCAGTTTGGGAAGATGGAAAAGTTCTGAAAATGAATGGTAGTGATAGTTGCAAAAACAACGTGAATGTACTTAAGGCCACTGAACTGCACACCTGAAAATAGCTCAAGTCATAAATTTTAGATTTTATATATTTTACGACAATAAAAATGTAATGTGTCTGAAGATTTTTTAAAAAAATGTCTTGCCTATTTTCCTTCCAGTTGTTCATTCGCTGCACGTCATGGAGCATGCCACATGCTACATACTGTCTCCAGCCGTGTTACTCCGAGAGTGGTCCCTAAAGCAGCAGCAGCAGCATCGCCAGGAAGCTGATGAGAACCAGGGACGCTCAGGCTCACCTACTCTTACATGATTAGAATTTGTAGTGATTGGAACCTTTTTCCACCCAATGAACCATTAGACCATCATCCTCTGGAGTATGGAATAATCAATTTTATTCACAAGAAAATTTCAGACAAAAATAGTAATCTTTCTTTTCCCTGTGTTCAAGTCATACAATTTATTTAATGTGATATTGGCAAGAAGGTCAGTTCTTTGTACTGCCCTCTCATAATTCCAATGTCTTAAAGAGATGGGATTCCAAAGTGTATTAAAGGGATATGATTGAAGGTTTAATGGATTGAAAGTGGTATGATTGCCAAAACCGGTTTGGCTCAGTGGTAGAGCGTAGGTCTGCGGACTGAAAGGTCCCAGGTTCTATTCCGGTCAAGGGCATGTACCTGAGTTGAGGGCACATCCCCAGTAGGGGGTGTGCAAGAGGCAGCTGGTTGATGTTTCTCTCTCATCGATGTTTCTAGCTCTCTATATCTCTCCCTTCCTCTCTGTAAAAAATCAATAAAATATATTTTAAAAAAAAGAAAAAGAAAAGAAAGTGGTATGATTGAAGGTATAAGCACTTAATGTAAAGGATAATGTAAACATGAAGATAATGATCGAAAATTTTTTCATAAACACAGTTATATTCCACTACAGAGAAATCCAGCAGACAAAAGCAAAACAAAACATAGGAATGTCCAGCTGGTATCACTCAGTGGTTGAGCATGGACCCATGATTCAAAAGGTCGCCGCTAGTTCAATTCCTGGTCAGGGCACATGCCTGGGGTTGCAGGCTCAATCCCTAGTGGAGGGCTTGCAGGAGGCAACCGATTGATATTTCTCTCTCATCAATTTTTCTTTCTCCCTTCCTCTCTGGCTAAAACTAATAAAAATGTAATTAAAAAATTAAAGCAACCCCCCCTCCCCCGAAGAAGTTACTAAACAAATAAATCAAGGGATTTATTTATGTTCTCAGGTGAGTATTAGCAAAACAACAAAAAACCAACACAGTCTATAAAAGGCGAATTTGGTAAATTGGACCTCATCAAAATTAGGAACTCTAGCTTTGCGAAAGACGAAAAGGCAAGCTTGGGAGAAAATGCAGGGATGGACCAAAGTAGGTTTACAGTTGTGAGTACACGAAACAGAATTTATTCTTATATTATTTTTATTAATTAGTATATTATTTTTCATATGAACAGTTGTAAGCCTACTTTTGCCCACTCCTGTATTTGCAAACCACATATCTGACAAAGGACTTCATCTAGAATATATAAAAAGATCTCAATACTCAACAGCTAAAAAACCACAACCCAAACAATCCAATTAAAAAATAAACAGGCATTTTATTAAAAAATATATACCAATGATAAATATAGCACACAAAATGATGGTTAACATTATTAGCCAGTATGAAAATGCAAATTAAAACCAGTATGAGCTCACACAACACACCTATATAACAAAATAAAAATTAATACCAACACAAAATGCTGGGGAAAATATGGAATCACTGGCTCTCTTATAATTTGCTGGTGGGAATTTAAAATGGTACAGCCACTCTGGAAAATAGTTTGTCAGGCTCTTTAAAAAACTAAACATACACTTACCATATGACTGAGCAACTTTCCTCTCTGGCGTTTATCCCAAGAAATGAAAGCTATGTTCATGTAAGACCTGTACACAAATGTTCAAGGCAGCTTTATTCATAATAGACCCAAACTGGAAACAGCCAAGATGTCCTTCAATAGGTGAATGGTTAAGTAGTGTTATGGAACACTACCCAGCAATAACAAGGAATTTTGTTTTCGATACACACAAGTTAGATAGATCTCAAGGAGAAAAGCCATTCTTAAAGATTATATACTGTATGATTTAATTTCTATTACACTCTTGTAGTGACGGAATTATAGATATGGAGAATAAATTAAAGATGGGAGTAGGGGGGCATATCCTATCTAATAAAAAAGAAACATGCAAATTGATGTACCTCTGCTATACCCACCAGCCAATCAGAGTGAGTATGCAAATTAACTCAACAAATATGGTGGCGGCCACAGAGCGGGAGCAAGCAGGAGGCTTGGGTTGCCCCAGGGGATGGAGGAAGCCAAGCTTCCCGTCTGCCCTGGCTGGCCCTGGCCTTTGTTCAAGGCTACAAAGTTTCAGTTGTAGAAGATAAATTAATCCCATATACTTGCTTCCAGCTGGTCCTTGCCTCTACTCAAGGAGGCACTGAAAAAAAAAGAAAAGAAAAAAAAGAAAAAAAGGAGAGGCTGGGAGCTTGGGTCACCTGCAAACAGCCATCAGCCTCTCAATTAGGCTAGCCAGGCACCTCAGTGGGAACCCCCACCCTGAAGGGGGTGTGGCCAGCCTGAAAACAAGTCTCAGCCCCTAACCCAGGCTGGCCACACCCCCATGGGGTGAGGGTCCCTGCTGGGGGGATTGGCCAGCCTGCAAACAGCCCTCAGCTCCTCACCCAGGCTGACCATGGCCCCCCCAGCGGGGACCGTCACCCCATGGGGGCATGGCCAGCCTGCAAACGACCACAGGCTTCTGGCCCAGGCTGCCACATGCTCCAAGGGAACCCCCACCCTGATCTGGACACCCTTCAGGGAAAACCAGCTGGTCCCCACCTGTGCACCAGGTCTCTATCTATCCAGGCGTCCTCAAACTTTTTAAAGTGGGGGCCAGATCCCGGTCCCTCAGAGAGCTGGAGGGCCGGACTATATGAACTACTAATTCCTACTGTAACACCTCGGCTGCGCTCACTGCCCAAAAAACCTGGCGGGCCGGATCAGACTCCTCTGCGGGCCGCATGTGGCCCGTGGGCCGTAGTTTGAAGACCCCTGAATTATATTAATAAAAGGGTAACATGCAAATTAGACTGGGAGACCTTCCAGGAGAACTTCCAGATGTTCTTCTGGACAAAGCCATGGTGGTGGGGCCGAGATAGAGGCAATTAGAGGCCAAGAGGGGTGGGCAGTTGCGGGTGATCAGGCCAGGATGGGACAGCAGTTGTGGGTGACCAGGCTGGTGGGCGGTGGGGCCATTGGAGGTAAGCAGACCAGCAGGGTGGCCAGTTGGGGGTAAGCAGGCCATCAGTGGGGGTCAGTTGGAGGTGATCAGGATGGGGGGAGGCATTTGGGGGTGAGCAGGCTGATGGCAGGGGGCAGTTGGAAGGTAAGCAGGCTGGCAGGCAGAGGGGTTAAGGGCAATCAGGCAGGCAGGCTGGTAGGTGAGTGGTTAGGAGCCAGCAGTCCTGGATTGCAAGAGGGATGTCCAACTGCCGGTTTAGACTTGATCCCTGTAAACCAGTAGTAGGACATCCTTTGAGGGGTCTCAGATTGGAGAGGGTACAGGCTGGGCTGAGAAACATCCCCCCATGCATGAATTTCGTGCACTGGGCCACTAGTCTATATAATAAAATTCTAAGAGACCGTTAGAGTGGAATGACCAGAACCACCAGTCGCTATGATGCACACTGACCACCAGGGGGCAGATGCTCAATGCAGGACCTGCCCCCTGGTGGTCAGGGTGCTCCCACAGGGTGAACACTGCTCAGCCAGAAGCCAGGCTCACGGCTGGTGAGCACAGTGGCAGTGGTGGGAGCCTCTCCCGCCTCTGCAGCAGTGCTAAGGCGCAGCCAACTGAGAGTTAAGGAGCAGCAAGCAGGTGGGCGGTAAGGAGCAAGGGGTTCCAGACTGTACAAGGGTGCAGGCTGGGCTGAGAGACCACCCCCCTCAGTGCCAGAATTTCGTGCACTGGGCCTCTAGTACTAGTATAAGGGCAACATGAGGCAGCCTTGTGGTGATGGACCAGTTCTGTATCTTAGCTGTATTGGTGATTATAAGAAGCTAAACCTGGGATAAAATTGCTTGGAAACACACAAGGGCTTGTAGAAATGCTGAAATCTGAAAAGGCTCTGTGGATCATATCAGTGTCAGTTTTCTGGTTTTGATATTGTACCATAGATGTTACCACAGGGGGAGCCTGGGCAAAGAGTACACTGGACTTCCCTGTACTTTTTAATTTATTTTTATTGACTTCAGAGAGGAAGGGAAAGGTAAAGAGATAGATACATCAATAAGAATCATTGGTCAACACTGCCTGGCTTCCTGTACTTATTTATTTCTCCTGTAACTCCTTGTGAATCCATTGTTATCTCAAAATAAAAAATTTAAAGACTGCATTTGGGTATAAAAGAATTTTTTAATTTAAAATCACCTTAGGGTAATCATAAACTAGAACTAACTAGAGCAGCGGTCACAGACCTTTCGAACCTTATAGATCACCAGTGGTCCACGGACCACTGGTTGGCAATCACTAAACTAGCATGGGGGGGTGGGGGGAGCCCTCAGGGGACGGCTTAGGCTTGCTCCCCAGAGTGCAGGGATCAGGCCTAAACTGGCAGTCGGACAGCCCCCTTGCAACCCAGGACTTCTGGTTCCTAACCTCTCTCCTGCCTGCCTGCCTGATCACCCCTATCCACATCTGCCTCAGCCCTCGCCACCTCGGCTTCATCTGGAATGATGTCTGGAAGG